TGTAGAGAAATAACCATGCACATACAATATGCAAAAATTTCCACAACATAATTCAAAGGCCTATAATTTAAAATTACTTATTTATTTATGAGTTTGCTGTCAGTACAGATCAACTCAGCCCAATAAAAGAATTATCTTTATTCTACCTTGTAAATACTCTATCAGTAAGTTAAGAGCCTTGGTAAATCTTAACATAATAAATAACACACCTACTGTTAATGTTACAAGCAACCTCAGAAGTTCAAATTACTAGATATCACTAAACTCAAATTTTCTTGACTCAAAGATCAAATGGATGAGAGTTATTGATCCAGGAGTAAGTAAAATGTTATTTGTTTTCTTATTAAGAAAAACTGACTGAGGAGATTATTGGGTACTCTTGCAATTTATTTTTTTGCAGGAAGCAACCAAGCTAATAACATCTTGTAAAGTGCAGGATATTGATGGGTATATTGTAAAACAGAACCTTCTTCCGCTGGAAGAGCTTTCGATTAGACCAAGACACAGCTTTTGATTAAACAAGACACAGATAGGACAAGACATTACTTTAGTTATCCATTATATATTTTAGAAATTTGAAGTACCAATTAGACTTCTTGTCAATATTGACAAGATTGAAAATTATATTTATTTTATCTGCAATTATTTTAAGCAGTGATTCCTAAGACATAAAAACTCAATGCTGAATACAAATTCTAAAGACTTATTTTTACCTGTAATGGTTATTTTTGCTGACCACTTAGATGTCCCATCCAATACACTCTGTTTGGCTGCCTTTGTGTACTGGACAAAATCCTCTTTAGAAATCTGAAACATTTCTTGAATTACTTCAAAAACCTCTGGCCTATTTTTTTCCCTGATCTTCATTCTTTCTTTCATAGCTGAAATAATAGTCTGAGTCTTGTCTTCCGCACCATGCTTAGAACTCTTCTCCGCTGCTCCTATAATGGAAAAATCAATGGTGGTGTAAACGCATGTCTGGTTACTTTTAGATGGCCCAAGAAAGGGAGGAAAAGGAGGAGGAACATGAGAATGAATGAATGCTTTTATGCTGAGGAGTCAGAGTGGCTTTTTTGGAAAATAGGAGTACAAGTCAGAGTGCTGAGATTCAGGACTTGTGTTTTTGGTAAGTGAATGCACCTCAATGAGCCCTAGTTTTCTCACTTGTATTATTGGACTAAATCAGGGGTTGTGCAAATATTTGGTTTGAGTTTTCAAAAACAAATTTGCAAAACCCCCAAAAGAATGAACATAATCAAATGTATTATATACTGCACAATCTACTAAATGGATAACCAAATCAAATTGGGAAATATAGATGGCAAATGTCACTCAAAATCAATATCTCAAATACTTGTGTCCATCCAAAGTGTCTAATATTTTTGTTGATGGAATTTATCATAATTAAATGATTAATTTTTTCTTATAAATTAAAAGCCACCACTATTTGTTGTATTTTGAAATACAGAGTAAGATTATACTTGAAATGAAAGTGATTCTGCTGTTTAAAAAAGATTTGAAAAGCACTGGGCTAGAAAACCTCTGAAGTATTGAAGAGACCATAGACTTGACTTATTATTCTATAATAAGGGCATGGTTTTGAACAGACTGAATTCTCACTTTCCACTCAAAACTCTTTTTTTTTTCTAGGACATTGTGTGTTTTTTATGATTGATCTCAAATTTCTGGGATTTTTTTTTTTTCATTTTTAACACAAATCCTTCTGGCAGTGAAGTATTTCCAATAGTTCATTCTTGGATCCCTCACCTTTTCCAATTACCAGACAGATATTCTCCGTGCTTTGTCTAGCCTCTGGGTTGCTCAGTATTACAGAACAAGTAACTAGTGAACCATGACTTCAACTCTCATAGTTTTTTAGTGAGTTTGAAGTGAGAGAGCAAAAGCCCATCTATAGGAACTGCCACTGCTGAAAACAAATATTTTTTTGGCACAGAAGCAATTAAGATGTAGTGAAAAGAATAAGAAACCTGTGTTCATAGCTCGTAATTGTTCCAATATTCCTCTACCTGACTAAGGATTCCCAACGTGTATTAGATTTTTTGAAATATTATATTTCTGAAAATAGGTATACTCATACAGTATTTCATAAAATGTTAAGATTAAATGGGATAAATTATCTGCACAATTCCTTCTAAAAGGATAGCCTCAGTAATCTTTATTCAATCGAATTCTGTGAATCTTAAGCCAATTTAAGTATAGAAGCTAAAAGAGAAAAGGTCAACTACTAACTTTCCTTTTTATAAATTCATATACAATTTGACAGCGGTCATTTAGTGAAAATCTTTATTAATTTGAAAGTATAACATTTATTCACTAAAGTGGAAAAATTTGTTAATAATAATCAAGGTGTAATTAGAGACAGTTAAAAGAGAGGTGCATTGTACTACTAGAAACAACAGATTCCTAGTCATTATCTTTAATAATAATATTATAAAAACACAAAAAGAACCTTTGAGGACAAGTCACATTTTTTAAAAAAGTACTATAAATTAGTGCATTCCATTTAAAGTAATTTGCCATTCTAAATGCCCTAGTCCTCTGTTAAAACATGCCCTAGAACAGCTACACATTTGTACATTATGTACCATTAAGCAATTAAGCATTTTTATAATTTATCAATAACTGTGGACTAAAAGGAACCACATACTAAACCTGACAAGCTCAGGGAAGGCCTGCATGGCTGCTTTACAAACTCAGAGACCAAAAGTAACCACATAGGATGGTCTGAAATTAACACTCTTTTAAAAGCAATTCATGGAAGTAATGTCCTAGGGCAGTATTTTTCCCTAACAAAAGTCAGTCTTAACTGATCTAGTCTGTCCTGTTTTTGCATCTAGGATAACATACCTGATAAACATGTCTTTGTACCAACAAAGTAATTTCCCCTTAAAGCACAATCACTGTACCAGAGCATAGAACACAAATCCCCTCATTCTTATTGTTACTGTGTTAATTGTTAACTGTTAACTTTCCTGCACCCCCCTGTGTAAAATAAATGTGTCTATCATTTTACTTTTTATCCATTCCCAGAGGTTTCCTTCTGTCCATCACTGTACTTTCTCCTGCCTCCCTAATCTATCACCAATAGATTTCATGTAACCCACTTATGCCTCGTCTTTTGATTGTAATGCATGAAATAAGATGCACAAGTGTCATTTTCTGGAGCATTTTCTCAGTCCCATGAGGTTTTGCTTCCTGGCAATTATCATGAGTTTGCCTCAAATAAACTCATAAAAATTCTTACAGGTTTGGATGTTGCTTACGTTGGCATAACTTCACAGCACATAATTCTTACACAGCAAAATTAATTTAGGCTAGACTAAACACCAGCTGCAATTGTCACCACTGCAACTAGCTGGTTAATATTAATAATAGAAAGAGAGCAAAGGAAAGGGCAGACATTGTAAACATAGTCCTCTGGGCCGCTTCACCAGGAAGCTGTAGGTTTACACACCCCGGGGAACCACAGGTCTATTCCCTGTAAATCACTGGGGATGGGGGTCCAACAAAGGGGAAGATGGGCACGTGTGCAGTGAAGTCAAGGTGACATATGACAGGTGCGTGTCAGTCAGTGAAATCTGGGAGAAAGACAACTGACTAGGGGAGTGGAGCCACTGCAAGCACACAAAATCCTGAAGGGTTGTTTGGTTAGGCTCCCAGTTTTAATCCCCAAGAATTGTGTTTCTCTTGTTTGTTTGCTCTTGCTCTTCTGCTTCTCACTTGCTCTGTAACCCACACTTGCCCATGCACGCCCCAGCCATGTGGACCCCACACGATGGACTGCAGCTGGGAACAGGAGGTAAGCTGCCAGATGCTGGCTGGACTGTGCTGGAACATGGAGCGGAAACTCTGGGCAGTGGTTTGAATCCTTGCCCTGTGAAGACACCGCTGGGCTTTTTCCATGGGGAGACAAAGGGAGATGGGACCTTGGAGGGGAACCCTCTTAATTTTACACCAATAAAGCTTTCCATGGTACTTCATCCTCCGATGGGGGCCTCAGGAAATTATTTTCCCCATGGCACGCCAAGAGCTCCACTTTTACCAGTAACAGGTGGGGACAGAGAGGGCACCCCACCAGTAACAGAATTATTCAATGAGCAGGTTTTATAAGGGAATAGTTATTAAATAGAAAGAACAGTAAAGCTTTCCATGGTACTTCATCCTCCGATGGGGGCCTCAGGAAATTATTTTCCCCATGGCACGCCAAGAGCTCCACTTTTACCAGTAACAGGTGGGGACAGAGAGGGCACCCCACCAGTAACAGAATTATTCAATGAGCAGGTTTTATACTGGAATAGTTATTAAATAGAAAGAACAGTGATGGCTTGAAAAGTTACCTACAAGATTAAAAGTGTCCCAAATGTTTGGTTTGCAAAGGCCGTTCTAAGAATGTTCAAAGAGAAGTATCATAAAAATGTTGACTCCCTCCAATACTCTGAGCAACTATTATCTTTGTGATAATGAGTGTTTCCCAACAGCTCCAGGACAAAGTATTAAAGTCCCCAAGAGTTAAATATATTTTGGAAGTGGTTTTTTTTTCTCTCTAAATTTAGGAAGAGCCAGCTGACCACCACCACGTAATAAATGCTCATTCAAGTAAACACTATTAAATTCAAGGCTGGAATGTCAAGAGATGTTTCATTTAAAGAAATCAAATCTCTGTACTTAACAATTGCTCCTTGAATTCTTTTAAAGAATTAATTAGGAAAGCATCACATTCACAGATACTCTTGATGTTGGAGTAGAAAATCTCTAACTTGTACAGACAATAGACCCACAACTTGTGAAAATGCCAGGCTAAGAGAATAAGTTAGCAGAGACTTATATTTAAGCCTTTTACCTGTTATTTCTAGGAAATATACAAGGTGTCCCCCCAAAATGTATACACACCTTAACAGCTGATAGCTCAATTCTGAAAATAAAATGTATTTTAATAAAAACTTCCTTTATAATTACCCAAAGTGTATGTATACAGTTTTGGAGGACATCCTATATATATAACTTTTTAAAAGTTCTACTTTTATATTTTTGAGCTGAAAAAAATAATTCAACTTTGATTTGTTTAGTTCAGAGATACAGAGACAATCCATAATTAAGTTTTGTCACTAACCTATAAATACTTTTTATTGCCCTATTGTGTAAACCCACATACATTGTCTTAAAAAAAGATAGCTCAATTCTGAAAATAAAATGTATTTTAATAAAAACTTCCTTTATAATTACCCAAAGTGTATGTATACAGTTTGGGAGGACATCCTATATATAAAACTTTTTAAAAGTTCTACTTTTATATTTTTGAGCTGAAGAAAATAATTCAACTTTGATTTGTTTAGTTCAGAGATACAGAGACAATTCATAATTAAGTTTTGTCACTAACCTATAAACACTTTTTATTGCCCTATTGTGTAAACCCACATATATTTTCTTAAAAAACACACACACTATTTCTTAAATAGGTACAAACTGTCCTGAATATTTGTCTCAGAGTCATCAGAGATAAACTTACATTTGCATTTATATGAGTCTTCCTTCAAAGTGTCTAGTACCTAATTGAAATATAGTCGTATGTCAACCAGAGATAAAAAAGAAATCAAATAAAAAGAGATAATGTACAGTAAAAGCACTTTGTAAAGTATAATACATTGTACAAATGTAATGCATCATTGTTATTTTTAAAAACAATTAATTGACAGATCAGTCAATACAATGATGAACAGCAAAACTGCAAAAGGATTTGACCTTAAACAGTGGCAAACTTATCCCACACAATTCTCTTCTACATAATTTAATGAGACAGCCAATTTTTATTTATTACCCAAAATATAAATCTCATGTGAAATTCACAATTTCACCACCTTGATATGGCAATTTACAATTTTAGTGCATCTTCCAAATAATTATCTATCTATACGTACCAACT